TTCTGATATCAAGCAACGTAGCCAGAAGAGCAAGAAACTCCTGCCTTGATTCTTGCTTCAAGCGAGAACCAAGTCAAGTTTTGCTTTAAGTCTTGGAGATTTTACCATGGACTCAAGCCCATGTCCTGGTCAAGTTTTGCTTTAAGTCATGGGGATTTTACCATGGACTCAAGCCCATGTCCTGGTCAAGTTTTGCTTTAAGTCTTGGGGATTTTACCATGAACTCAAGCCCATGTATTGTTCTATGATTCTTGGATTACTCAAGTTGATGTTTTATTCCTTGTCTTTTGGATTAATCAAGCACATGATTAGACCCTGCTCCTTGGATTTATGTTTATGTTTTAACCTTTGCATTGGAGATTTATCTCAGGCTTTTGGGACTCCTTTTATCTTTTATCCTATTTGGATTTTTTACTCTTTTACTGTGTGTGCTTTTTCAACCAACTCTTTATTCCTATGTTTGGCTTCCTGGTGAGTGTTTGAGCAAGGTGAACCCTAGCTGAGGTGCAACAGTATACTTGTTACTCCCTCTGATTTTGAACAGTCTGATTGCTGTTCAATGTTGTCTGAAATTTATATGTTTAATAATAATAATAATAATAATAATAATAATACATGAAAAAGTGGCTAGTGTGGGTGGAAGCCTGGGAATGTCAAGACCCACCTGTTGCAACCCAGAGCAGGAAACTGGACCCTCAGACAACAATCCACCACACTTGACTTCAGGAAAACAATCCTTCTTTATTGATGAAAGATGAATACAAATTAGAAGAAATATGCAAAGGTAAAAAGTCACAGTAAAAATCAGCAACAAGAAATGTCCATAAACAAGATCATGAAACCCACAGCAAAACTGCTGAATCCTGGAACCTGTTAGCAATCCACTAACCGTACTTGGAACAACTAGAAAACCTCCGAGGAACAAGGCCACTTGAATCAGGATACCTGCAAAAGCTTGCACATGAATCTGGAACGTTGTCTGGTCTGAAGCTGCATTCAGGCCAGGCACACTTAAGGCAACATCCTTGCAGACGGCCAATTCTCTCACACTAGAAGCGACTTGCAGTTTCTCAGGTCGCTCCTGATACGACAAAAAAACAAAACAAAACTTAAGGCCAAGAAATCTATTGTGAGACACACCTGAAGACTTTGTTTGTATTTCTCTTAATCTAGCTGACCTACATAAACTTTGTGCTTCCCCCCCGGCTCTGCCAAATCTGCCCCCGCCTATCCTCATTAGGGAGACCAGGTGTCAGATTCTCTGGAGAACTAAGACTGGGAAGAAAAGGGAGTGAAACATCTCTGCTTGGCTCGGAATGCATGTTCTCATGGGAATCTTGACTTTCACTTTCCAAGGCTGTAGGATTTTCACTACTCAAACCATCCTCATCTAAATTGGCCTCAGAATTCACATTGACATCTACATTGGCATCAGGAAATACAATCAGAGAATCAGGTTCAGGTTGACACACAGGCTGAACCCCAACACCACCCTTGCTGTGGCTTTTAACAGTTTCCTCCTGCCTGCCCTTCCTTCCCTCCTTCCCTCCTTCCTTGCTTACAGGACCGTAGTGACCATGAGGTGGAGAAGGTCAAGAGCACGCTGATCCTGTGCTACGGCCACGTGGCCAAACACGCCCCGGGGGAGCTGGTGCTGGCCCGCATCGAGACCGACATCCTCCGCAACGTCTTCCTCTACTTCAACACCAAGGTAAGGCCCCCTTTCGCCAGGCAGGCCTCCCTTTGTGCAGAAAAAAGGTTGTGAGGGGGTCTGTGCTCCAACACAAGCCTTAATGCCTGTCTCCCTTTTATTTTGTTCAGGTTCTGGGAATAAAGGTAGAAACCAAGGTACAGTGTTAATAAGGCCCTCTGGCCCTCTTCTGTCCTTTCCGTCTGCTTCTCTCTTTCTGTTGTCTAACAAACCTTTTAGGAGAAGAAGATGCGGAAGGCGGGAGGAAGCCCTTCCCTGCAGAGCCTTAGCTTATCTTGCATTGAAATATTTTTAACGTAAGCCTCCTTGTGGAGACACAAAGTGGGGTACAAATAAACATAATAATTAGCATTATTATAACAGAATCGTAGAGTTGGAAGAGACCTTGTGGGTCATCCAATCCAATTCCATTCTGCCAAGAAGCAGGAAAATCTCATTCAAAGCACTTCCGACAGATGGCCATCCAGCCTCTGCTTCAAAGCCTCCAAAGAAGGATCCTCCACCACACTCTGGGGCAGAGAGTTCCACTGCTGAACAGCTCTCTCACGCAGGAATTTCTTCCTCATGTTCAGGTGGAATCTCCTTTCTTTCCTGTTGTTTGAAGCCATTGTTCCATTGCGGTCTAATCTCCAGGGCAGCAGAAAACAAGACTGTTCCCTCCTCCCTATGACTTCCCCTCACATATTTATTCATGGTCACCGTGTCTTCACTGAGTCTTCTCTTTTGAAGGCTAAACATGCCCAGCTCTTTAATCCGCTCCTCATAGCTTAAGCAGGAAACAAACACTCACTCAACTGATAGCTTCAAAGATCAGGGAACAATCATCCACTTAACTGCTGACTTGAAACTGTCAGTCACTGTTGGCTGAAGTATCTAGCCTCGCCTCCAAAACAAAACAAACACTCACACAGCTTTCTGGTGCCCCTAGCATAATAATAACAACAACAACAACAACAACACTTTGATTGTGCTTTTCCTGTATGGCAGGGGGTTGGACTAGATGCTCATGTGGTCTCTTCCAACTCTGGTATTCTGTGAGTCTAACACATTATAAACACCATAAACATAATAGCAACAACAACAATAATAATAATACTTTTTTGTCGTGTCAGGAGCGACTTGAGAAACTACAAGTCGCTTCTGTTGTGAGAGAATTGGCCGTCTGCAAGGACGTTGCCCAGGGGACGCCCAGATGATTTGATGTTTTTTATCATCCTTGTGGGAGGGTTCTCTCATGTCCCCGCATGAGGAGCTGGAGTTGATAGAGGGAGCTCATCTTCCCCCCGGATTCACACCTGTGACCTGTCAGTCTTCAGTCCTGCCGGCACAGGGGTTTAACCCACTGCGCCACCGGGGACTCCTATAAAAAACAAAAAACAACCAAAAACAAACAAACCCAGATTCTCTCATAAAAACATGAAAAAGTTTGTTAAATTCCAAAAACTTTGTTTTTGTGGGACGTCTTGTTATAGCACATTTTGCAATAGGTTTTCTGTTTGGTGGTCCCTATGGAGACTTGTCCACAGCTGCATGGTATACGGTAGACTCCTGCAGAAGGGATCCTCTCGCTTCTGCAGGAGTCTACCGTATACCATGCAGCTGTGGACAAGTCTACATAGGGACCATCAAACACAGCATTGCCCAAACACGCATCAAGGAACAGGAAAGGCACTGCAGACTCCTTCAACCAGAGAAGTCAGCCATAGCAGAGCACCTGAGGAACCAACCTGGACATAGCAGATTATCTGAGAACACAGAAATGCTGGACCACTCTCACAACCACCATGCTAGACTACACCAAGAAGCCACTGAAATCTATAGGCATGTATGTGGACAATTTCAACAGAAAGGAGGAAACCATGAAAATGAACAAAATCTGGCTACCAGTATTAAAAAACTCTAAAATTACAACAGCACAACAACAGAGAGGAAACAAACAAGAACATGTAATCACCTCTCAACAAAAGTTTGCTCCAGGCACTGCCAGGCCATTGTATGCTAATCAAGGTGGTCAGTTGAAACATTCACACCTAGCTCCAGCAGACAAGAGTCCTTTGCCCCACCCTGGTCCGTCCACAGATATATAAACCCTTTTCCCTAGTTCCAACAGACCTCACTACCTCTGAGGATGCTTGCCATAGATGCAGGCGAAACGACAGGAGAGAATGCCTCTAGACCATGGCCAGATAGCCCGAAAAAACCTACAACAACCCAGTAAAGCAGCAGCAACATCAGTAGCAGCAGTTCAGCAGATCAGAAGCTTCTTGAGCCAGCAGTAGAGCAGAACTGCGGCTACTGAAGTTTCTGCAATTCAGGACCAGAGTCAAGCTTTTAAAAGTTATTAAAAACATTATTGAAATAACTACATAACTAGATAGGAAAGTTAACACAGTGTGTAGATATCCTAACTAACTCACAGCAGGTATCTTGTCCTTCTCCGTGCTCACAAAAGAACAAAATGGAGGCCTCGGCGGGCTCAGAAAAGGAGGCATGTCCCTGAGAAATATCAGTCTCACCAGCAAAGTGATGGGAGGAGGGAATAGATTGACAGGCAGAGGCCAGTGGGGAAGGGCTTTCTCTGCCAACTAACTCATTTGCTCATCCTTGATGAGGACTACAGCCTTGTGCAGGATGTGGTTGAGTTGAAGGTGAAAATCTATGCTTCTGTAGCTTTGTCCTGTTCTTCAGGGTCGCAGGGAACGGGCCTCTATGATGCGGCCCTTGAAATGTGGGAAAAGTCACAACTCTGCTTCCAACTTTGGCAAACTTATGGGGCCGGGGAGGTTTTCTCGAGGGGCAGAATCCTTCTCAGGTCTCACTAATGCCTTTTTCTTCCGGCTTTGTTTGCACTAACCTCTGTGGGGAATGCTCCAAAACTGGGGGGCTGAGAGAGTGGCCCCTTTTGCTTTCTGATGTTCCCATTGACTGGAATGGAATAAGTTTATTGTTATTGTACAATGAAATTAAATGCCACCCCAATATGCATTATATATGTAGAAGTACAAAAATAAATAAGCACCCATTCTGATCACTTTTGCACAGTCCCAAATGTCACATCAGTGTGAATCCAATATAGTCACCGCTTGTGCTGTCGCACGCTGGGCCTGTGCATCAGACTGTAGACAGGACATAAATTCTGTGTGCCCAACGGGATGCCGGGGCTGCCTCAGATTAAAGGCCCTTGGACCTCCCCAAAACAAAGTTCTGTAGAGGCTTAAAGTAAGTCCAACAAAGTTCTTTATTGAAGAAAACAAACAGGTACTTTCAAGCTTTCTTGCGATCTTGTTCACTGGGAACAGGCACTATCTTCATAACTATAACTAACCAATGGGGAAATGCTTAACTTCTAATCTGGACAGTCTGTACTTGCCTCTGTTGGCGTGGAGCCCCTGCACCCGGTACCAACTGCTTCTGGCTTCCGCGAGCGACCCTTACCAAGCAGAGATTTGTAGACTTCAAGGGGAAAAGAAGGAGTTCAGGTTTCGCTGATGGCTGGCTGAAGTCCCTCAGCGAAGGAGCTGTAAGGCTGCAAAGTCTTCAGCCAAGCTGTGGGGCCTTTTCTCCCTGGCCAAGCTGTAGGCTGTATATCTCCCTGGCCAAGCCGTGGAAGACGAAGCTTTCTACAGGAGCTCTTCGTTTTATGTGCAAAAGGCTTCTCTGTGAGAACTGAACTCAAAAAGGCTCCTATTCCCTCCAAAAACCCCAAAAAGGGGGCAGGATCAGGGAACCTAACTATAATTGACAGGTGGCTTGCCCTATGATTGCAGCCAAAAGAAGCCACCTATCTGCAGAGTCCCTGAAACTTAGGGCTGCAACAAACATTCAATGCAAAGCAAACAAAATTGGAGCTCCTCGTGCAGTTGTACCAGGACACCGCTCTAGGATATAAGCTCTCTCTCAACCTATTTGTCCTTGTTTTTATCATCCAGATTTGTATCAGTGTGCACAAACCTGGTTCCATGCATTCAACCCTTTACGATTGTTGAGCATAAAGTTAACATCAGGCTATGTGTTTATTGAAATATAAATACATTTTATGTGGAGACACCCATCTCCAAGAATACCCCATTGTGTGTATGCACATATTCCAAAACCCAAAACATGCCTCATCCCAAGCATCATGGATAAGGGAGAGCCAACTTGTATTATCATTGCTTTGTGTATAATTGCTGCACTGTAGCACTGAAACACCTTTTCATCCAGCACCACACCAGAGTCCAATATGACTATCTAGAAATGTTTATTAAGGAAAGCAGGTACAAAGGGGGAAAGGGGGCATTTTCAAAAGGGTCAGTAGAATAGGAAATACAAAATATGAGGGGTATTTTTTAAGTAAGGTCCGTTTTGTTGTAGACACTAGTAGTTCGCGCGCATACCGCAATGAGCGCGTGCGTCGTGTACCGGCATGCCTCGGGAACAACTGTGCTCAGTTTCCGCTCTGTAGCTAACCTGTACGGTTCTGTTCTGTGCTTTAAAAATGTTTAAGACTATCAACTCACCCTCCGCATGTGAGGTTCGCTCAGTGACACGGTTTTTGTCAGCAAGGAACCTGCCTGCTGCAGAAATTCATCGACAGATTTGTGAAGTGTACGGTGATACTGTTATGAGTGAAAGCAAAGTGCGTAAGTGGGTACGACAATTCAAAGATGGCCGTGACAACGTCCATGATGAGGACCGCTCCGGTCACCCTTCTTTGATTACAGACGATTTGGTGGCTTCAGTTGAAGCGAGGATTCGTGAGAACAGGCGCTTCACAATAACAGGTCTCTCAAACGAATTTCCTGACGTGTCGAGATCAGTGCTTTACAACATTGTTTCTGAACACCTAAAGTTTAGGAAACTGTGCTCCTGTTGGGTCCCGAAACTCCTAACAGAGGACCACAAAAACCAAAGATTTGAGTTTGCGATCAAATCAAATCGTCTGTAATCAAAGAAGGGCGACCGGAGCGGTCCTCATCATGGACGTTGTCATGGCCATCTTTGAATTGTCGTACCCACTTACACACTTTGCTTTCACTCATAACAGTATCACCGTACACTTCACAAATCTGTCGATGAATTTCTGCAGCAGGCAGGTTCCTTGCTGACAAAAACCATATCACTGAGTGAACCTCACATGCGGCAGGTGAGTTGATAGTCTTAAACATTTTTAAAGCACAGAACAGAACCATACAGGTTAGCTGCAGAGCGGAAACTGAGCACAGTTGTTCCCGAGGCATGCCGGTACACGATGCACGCGCTTGTTGCGGTATGTGCGCAAACTACTAGTGTCTACAACAAAACAGACCTTACTTAAAAATACCCCTCATAGCAGTAATTCAGAAATAGGAAATACAAAATAGCAGTAATCCAAAAATAGCAAAGTACATAAAGTCAAGAGAACCAGAATCCACAGCAGTTATCCAAGCATGAATCCATAAGCCAGAAAACAGGAGCTTTTTCCAAGGCAAATCCTTACAGGAACAAAGACATGAACTTGAGAGCAGAAACAGGAAAACCATCCTTTAGCAACGTTGTCTCCTCTGAGAGGTTTGAAGCCAAAGTACTTAATTTAAACCCGTACAGGAACCCATGACATCATGCCGAACACACTTGGACTTCAAGTCTTCCAACAGATTCTTTGAGAATATCTAGGTTTTTTTTTTTACTCCCTTCGTTCTCAGGCCTAATCTAGTTTCCCGGGAAAACTCCCTATCAGTCCAAGGACTTTCACTCTTCCCTGTTCCTTTGGAACCAGCACTGGAATTCCAAACATCAGCTTCCTCTGCCTCAGCCTCATTTGCCTGCAGTTCCCTCCGATCTGAGGGTTGCAATTCTCTCCAATCGCACACAGACTCCTCATTTTTGAAACTTATCACACACACACCCTCCCCCCCCCCCCTTGCATGCTTGCTGTGCTACAATATCCAAACATAAAAACATTTTGTATGGAGACTTGGATCCCATCTCCAAGAACACCCCATTTTGGATATTCCAAAATCCAAAACACGTCTTGACCCCAAACATTTTGGATAAGGGAAATAGATGTATATATATGTATGCACAAAATCCAAAAACCAAAACACCTCTCGTCCCGAGCATTTGGAACAAGGGAGACTCAACTTGTATTGGCATTGCTATGTGTATAATGAAATATGAATACATTATGTGCATACAATATGCAGATATTCCGAAACCAAAAACACTTCTTGTCCCAAGCATTTTGGACAAGGGAGACTCAACTCATGTTAGTATTCCTTTGGTCTTCAAACTGCTGCAGGTGTCCAGCAATTCTGTGGCCTTGAGTCCATCTCAGGGAGCAGAGCCCTCCTTGCGTGTGTCCAGCCCATGGTCACTCTTCTGCTGCCCCTCCCCCTTTCTTCTGCCCGCAGGACTTGACCCTGAAGCTGTGCCTCATTCGGAGCGTCTGCATGATCTGCCAGGCCATTTGCGCCAGCGACCAGTCTGGAGACTTCTCTTTCTCCCGAAAGGCAGAGCTCGTTTTGCAGATGATGGTAAGCGGCAGTAAATGGAGGGAGGCATGACTTAGATGAAGGGTTAGAAGGCAGGATCATCACGTTTGCAGACAACACCAAATTGTGAGGGATATAGCCAATACTCCAGAGGACAGGAGCAGGATTCAAAATGATCTTGACAGATTAGAGAGATGAAGGGCCAAAACTAACAAAATGAAGTTCAACGGGGACAAAGGCAAGAGACTCCACTTAGGCAGGAAAAACGAAATGCAAAGATACAGAATGGGGGATGAGGCCTGGCTCGGAAGCAGTACGTGTGAAAAAGATCTTGGAGTCCTCGTGGGGAACACGTTAAACATGAGCCAACAATGTGGCGGCAAAAAAAGCCAATGGGATTTTGTCCTGCATCAATAGGAGCATAGTGTCTGGATCCAGGGAAGTCATGCTCCCCATGCTCTATTCTGCTTTGGTTAGACCACACCTGGAATATTGTGTCCAATTCTGGGCACCACAATTCAAGAGAGATATTGACAAGCTGGAATGTGTCCAGAGGAGGGCGACTAAAATGATCAAAGGTCTGGAGAACAAGCCCTATGAGGAGCGGCTTAAGGAGCTGGGCATGTTTAGCCTGAAGAAGAGAAGGCTGAGAGGAGATATGATAGCCATGTATAAATATGTGAGAGAAAGTCACAGGGAGGGGGGAGGGAGAAAGCTTGTTTTCTGCTTCCCTGGAGACTAGGACGCGGAACAATGGCTTCAAACTACAAGAGAGGAGATTCCATCTGAACATGTGGAAGAACTTCCTGACTGTGAGAGCCGTTCAGCAGTGGAACTCTCTGCCCCGGAGTGTGGTGGAGGCTCCTTCTTTGGAGGCTTTTAAGCAGAGGCTGGATGGCCCTCTGTCAGGGGTGCTTTGAATGCAATATTCCTGCTTCTTGGCAGAATGGGGTTGGACTGGATGATGGCCCAGGAGGCCTCTTCCAACTCTAGGATTCTAGGATTTTATCCATTTGAAACTGTTGTGCAGCAAGCGAATCTTAGCCACGTCCCATGCACGAGACACACAGACAAGAGTGCCTGTGGAACCCAAGGGTCATTAGGAGCTGTGTTGACTCTTTTGTCAATCCCCTTCCTCCTCTTCCTCAGGACTTCATCAAAGCGGAGCCTGTGGACTCCCTGCGAACGTCTGTCCGCCAGAGAGCCATGATGGCCTGCATGTACCTGGTGTATCCTTTCCTTCCTCGGCCTCCAAAGTGACCCAGAAGTGTCCGGACGACAGCCACCAACCATGAGACCGCCCAGGAGTTGCAAGGGCAGTCTGCGGTCTCTCCCAGGAAGGCCACAGAACAGCTAGTCTGGGATCTGTGGTTTGGTGAGGCGCAAGACATCTTGGTCAGAGGAGACTCAAGGCTTTGCAGCTCCAACTCCTAAGATCCTATCGCATGGAGCCATGGGAGTGGCATCAGATTTGCATGAATTCTGTCATGTCGATGTATTTAAAAACCTTGCAAATCTGCACTTTCCAGGATTCCATAGCAAACTATATTAATTATACAGTGTAGATCAGGCGTGGGCAAACTTTGTCCCTCCAGGTGTTTTGGAGTTGAAGTCCAAAACACCCGGAGGGCCAAAGTTTTCCCATGTCTGTTGTAGATGCACCTGACATTTCTTGTGCAATGACCCATACCTTTGGCGGTCTCCTGCTGGTTTTGTCTTCCTTCCTTTCTTCCTTCCTTCCGTCTGTCCTTAACTTCCTTGCGCAGCGTCCTGGAGCCCCCCCTGAGCGACGTGGAGAAGGCCGAGCTGGTGGAGTCCTGCTTGAGCAGCGTCCTCCCCCTGCCGCTTCCAGACACCCCTGAGGTACATTGGGGATTTTGTGCTCCATCGATGAGCAATGGAAGTCTCCTAGTAATCTGGTAGTACCTAGTCAGACAGGCAAGGAATTGTGGGAGTTGAAGTCCAAAACACCTGGAGGACCCAAATTTGTCCCATGACTATTTCAGGCTGTTTGTGGCATGCAAAATTGCCATATAACTGGAGAGTTTCGGGGGCCATACTTTGTGGTCCCATTTGCATTCATAGCGTTGGAGCTCAGCCTGTGTTTGTGTTAAGGCCCAGGGTGCTTTAGATGTGGGGAGTGATGATAATGAGTTTCAAGAAGGTAATGGTCTGGTCAATGATATGTCAGAGTTTGGCGGTGCACAACAGAAAGATTGCTACATCAGCAGACACTGTGTTGCAAAATAAGGACTCTGCAGGCTTTGAGTTACAAAAGAAACTAAGTTTTACTAAGCACATTCAATAGACACGTCTTACTACAGCGAGCTACAATTCAGAAACTAGTCAAAACAAAAGTCTCTTCACATCTGCTTATCTCTTCTTGCTGAGACTAGTTACTCCCTTCTGTTCCCAACAAGAGCAAACTTTATCTTACTTCTCTCAAGGTTACATAATCACAGCCTCATGGAATAAACATTCTGCACAGCATTTCTAATACACAGTGGAATCCATATTGGAAATACATAGAAGCACATTTAAAACACACACATAACTAAATCAATCCTGACATGATATTGATGCAGAGAATGACCAGGAGATCCCTGTTCAAAGTGTATTTTCTCATGAGAATGTCCCTGAAGGGTGCTGGGATGATGGTGTGCTCCCTGAATTGCTACCAGAGAGTTCCCATGATTTGGAGCTTGAGAACAGCTCGGCACCTGGCCCAGCTGCAGAAATTAATATGCAAACAGATAGACAGGTTGTGATTAGTCAAAACAGGCAAGCAGATCAGTGGCTTTGGCGTTCTGCCAGGCTCAGAGAAAGAAAGATAAGGGATTCAAGGCTAAAGCAAAACCAATTTCTGGCTGCTTGGGACATAGCTTAATGAGGAGATAAAAGTCCCAAGTACAGGATCTGTAGTCAGATGAAGCATCGTTTGGAATCAAGTCAAGATCTTGTCCCTGTTCCTTGCCTTTAATTCATGTTTTTAATTCTTGGCTTTTATGATTATGTGTTTAAGTGCCTTGGATTCATGTTTCCAGTTTTTTTGGATTTTACTATAGAAGTTTCTGCCATTGTTTTTCATGAACTTTGATGGACTGGACTATTTTGTTCCGGCTTATCTTCCTACCTAATTGGATCTACCTATTCCTTTAAAGTGTGTTTTACTTTTCAGTAAACGGATTTCAGTTCTACTCAGCTGTGTGGGGTTTAAAATCAGAGGGCTTTTCCTGGTCTGGAGCGCAACACATGGTTTCTCTTCCTTTCTCCCCGCCGCAGCCTTTATGGAGCAACACCCTGCATGCCCTGAAGGACTTGCTGAAGAGCCTCCTCCACCGGCACATGACGCCACACGGCCTGCAGAGCATGTTTGAGGTGAGGGAGGGCTCCGAAATAGTGCGGTCGAATGGGATTGGGGGACACCTGGGACACCTGGGTGGGTTGCCACCTTCCCCCAGGCTCTTCAGCTAATACAAAAGGGAGATGGAGGAGTTGCTGTTTCACTCAACTTTGAGCTGTCATGGCTTGATGCACTGGACTCCTGGGAGTTGTAGTTTGCAAGGTATTTAGCCTTCCCTCACAAAGAGGGCAAGCTACAATTCCCAGGATGCCATAGCATTGAGTTAAAGTGGTGTACATGGATGGAATGGATGTTTTAAGGCTGCCTTGAGGTCCCCTCCAAGCTGAGAAAGGCGATATATAAATATGGTAAGTAAACAAACAAACAAACAAACAAATAAATAAATGCTGGGTACGACTCCCTTCATTCAAGACACTGAACTCTAATGGATGCAGCGTGGAATTACATTGGCTTTTTAAACTGCTGGCTTATGTTCAAATCTGGACGCAGGGTTGTTATTCCAGGTGACGTCTCACCAAAGCAGAATAGAGCGAAAGGCTTGAACTCAAAACGATCTTCACCGATGACAGAGATGTGTTAGCGCTTGCAGAAGTATCGCAGAAGCTCAGAATAATGGGCTCTGGAGTCACCGGTAAAAAGCAGGTTTCAGGTTTACTTAAGCAGTTCAGAAATCCAACATACACCATCAGTGAGCAGACGTGAAGAAACACAAAACCGAAAGAAGATAGGCACGAAAACAAAACTGCAGCTGGAAAAGAGTTTATCTCTGGCACTCTCTAATTTTTCACACAGCATGAACTCAGGGTCACATTCTCACAGCTTGTTACATTTGCTGTTTAACTCTTCTGTGTAAACATACATCCTGGCCATACAATTCTATTACAACCATAATCCTATCACATAAAATTATATTTAAACATACATCATACATTATACATGAAATACACACTGACAAGATGATGGGCCAAAACTAGCACAATGAAGTTCAGCAGGGACAAATGCAAGAGACTCCACTTAGGCAGAAGAAAGGAAAGGCAAAGAGACAGAATGGGGGACAGTGCCTGGCTCCAGAGCAGGGTGTGGAGAAAATGTCTGGAAGTCTTCGTGGGGAGGAAGGAAGGGGAACATGAGCCAACAATGTGATGCTGCGGCAAAAAAAGCCAATGGGATTTTGTCCTGTGGGCTCTTCAGCGAATGCAAAAGGGAGGTAGAGGAGGCTTCTACACTGCAGAATTAGACACTAGGAACATGGGGGGCATGACTTCCCTGGATCTAGACACTAGGGGTGTCTTCTTTCCTTCCTGACTTATTGCCCCACTCTTTCCCTCGGCAGCACCTGAGCCCCTGGATCAAGTCGGCCAAGGAGCACGAGCGGGAGCGGGCCGTGGACGTCAGTGCTGCCATCCTGGAGTTCTACCGGGAGAAGCTGAACGTCAGCGTACGTCTCTCTCTCTCTCTCTCTCTCTCTCTCTCTCTTCATGCTGTTTTCATTGGCCGGCCTAAAACCAGGGGCTGGACGAAGGGGGTCTCGGTGGCCACGTGTTGTGACTCAGTTAGAACCACAGAGTGATAGTGTTGTGACTCAGATGGGATCTCAGAGTGACTCTGATGAGGATGATGGGATTCAGGTTCATAATCAGGTTCAAAATGTCCCTGTGGTAGACAATGAGGAACAGGGTGTGCAAGTTCAGTTTCCCACAGCAGGGAATGAGGTTATTGATACTGAAACTAGCCAGGTGTAAATTGACCCAGAAAAGGAGGACAGTTCTCAGCCTGATAGTAAACAGGAAGGCAAGCAGGCTGACACTAACGAGCAGCCTGACCTTGACGAAACGGGAATCTTAGATCGAGCTGACTGTTTGGAATTCAGAGTTCGAAGGAGTGTGAGAATAGCCAACAAGAAGGAGGTCAGAGGCCAAAGAAACGCTTTCATGTCTTGCAAAGGGTATTAAGCAGTGTGTTTGGAAACAAACCTTTGTCAGGGCAACTTTTTGTTCAACCAAGAAGCTTGTGCTCATTTGTCTGGATTATCTTGCAGTTCTTGTGTCCATGATCTCGGGACTTCGTCATGTTCTCATGGGATTTTGCTTTGCTGGTGCCTTTTTGAATTATGCTTCAACGTGCTACTTTTTATTGATCTTTTCGAACATTACTTTTGCTTTTAAGAACTTTTTATCTTTTACTTTTAATAAACTATAAAAACTTCAGGCTGTGTGCAGTTTGGTGATTTCAGCAAGGTGAATCTATTTTGAGGTGCAGCACCACGCTTCTCACACCCTTGGCCTTCTCTTCCTCTTTCTCTGCAGACGGTGGTCCCGTTCTACAACCTGGGCTTCCTGATGGCCCTCTTCTCCCCACGCTGCACTGACTCCCAGCCCAGCGTCCGGCAGCACGCCGTGGACTGCGTCTACTCCCTCCTCTATGTCCAGCTCTGCTACGAAGGTAGTGGTCAGCGGAATTGGGGAGCTAGGGGTTTGGCATCCCGTTAAGGCTTCCAACAGGTTTCAGGAAGGCAAAGTCCCACACAACCTACTGGCAAGGAAACTAGTCCAATGTGGGTTTGTAATTGGTTAAGTGAATGAATCTGGGGGTGATTCTCCCCAAGGCTTCCTCCTCTTCATCCAGGAGAGAAGTGACTCCGTCCTGGGACCAGTCCTGTTCAAGATCTTCATTAACGAATCTTAGATGAAGAGTTGGAAGGCAGGATCATGAAGTTTGCAGACGACACTAATGCTCCAATGGAGAGCCAATATTCCAGAAGACAGGAACAGAATTCAAACGATTCGAGAGATGATGGGCCAAAACTAACACAATGAAGTGCAACAGGGCAAAATGCAAGAGACTCCACTTAGGCAGAAAGAAGGAAATGCAAAGAGATAGAATGGGGACAGTGATGCCTGGCTTGAGAGCCAAGTACGTGTGAAAAAGATCTTGGAGTCCTCATGGACAACAAGTTCAACATAAGCCAGGAATGTGGTGTGGCGGCAAAAAAATTCAATGGGATTTTGGCCTGCAACAAGAGGAGTCTACTACCTAGATCCAGGAAAGTCATGTTCATCTCTATTCTGCCTTGGTCAGACCACACCTGGAATATGGTGTCCAATTCTTGGCACCACAATTGAAGGGAGGTGTTGACAAGCTAGAATGTGTCCAGAGGAGGGCGACTGAAAGGATCAAGGGTCTGGAGAACAAGCCCTGTGAGGAGCGGCTTTAAGAGCCTGAAGAAGAGAAGGCTGAGAGGAGACATGATGGCTATGTATCAATATGTGAGAGGAAATCATAGGGAGGAGAGAGAAAGCTTGTTTTCTGCTGCCCTGGAGACTAGGACGCAATGGAGCCATGGCTTCAAACTACAGGAAGAGATTCCACCTGAACATTAGGAAGGACTGCCTCACTGTGAGAGCTGTTCAGCAGTGGAACTCTCTGCCCCAGAGTGTGGTGGAGGCTGCTTCTTTGGATGCTTTGAAATAGAGGCTGGATGGCCATCTGTTGGGGGTGCTTTGAATGCAATTTTCCTGCTTCTTAGAAGGGGGTTGGACTGGATGGCCCACCAGGTCTTTTCCAACTCTAGGATTATGACAGCAAATGGGGAGGGAGAGCCAATAACCTAGAAGACAGGAGCAGAATTTAAAACCATCTTCACAGATGAGAGTGATGACTGGCCAAAGCTAACACAATGAAGTTCCACAGAGACAAATGCTAGAGACTCCACTTAGACAGGAAAAAGGAAATGCAAAGAGACAGAATGGGGGATGATGCCTGGCTCGAGAGAAGGATGTGTGGAAAAGATCTCGGAGTCCTTGTGGTGAAGGGGGCTTTGGGTAAAATTATCAATAGCTAAAGCCTTTAACAACAAAGGAGAAATGTACCCCTTCCCTGAAAAAAAGGAGCAGCATGGAGGAAAATGTTTTAAAAACAAGAGGTGACATGTACAGGTCATACAAAGTTCAAGCTTACATAGGAAGTTGGTTTGTGGTTAAGTGCGAAGCCTGCAGGTGCAAGAAGGTACTTTCCATCAAGAGGTTGATGGGACAGGAAGAATAAAGGACAAAGTACTTTCCATGACAAAAATATTCTTGTTTACATGATGGTATAAAGGTTTGCAAAAAGCCAAGGAGGGGCACGGCAGTCTGTAGGAATTAGGCTTGGGCGATCAAGAAAAAAATGGGTTCTAAACTCGTTTCGTTTCTAGGGTGCGCTAGCATTTCGAAATTGTGAGGACTTCCGAAATTTAAGATTTCAAAATTTTGAAATTTCCGAAATTTCGTAAATTACAAATCGATTTGT